AAAGGATGCAAAATTGTTAATAGATTAGTTGATGTGGGTATTAAGCGAAGACGGTAGATAATGTTTAAGGAGTTTATCAATATGGGGGTGACATTTTCTAAAAATGTAATGCAATGGTTGCGCTATTGTTGTTTATTTTTCCACAGCATAAAATTAACAAAATAACATTATCGCAACTACAGTCACAAAGACCACCACGATTAAATGAGGCCATGAGAACCATAGTGGCCTAATTCAATGGACAAGCCATAGTGGCCTATCTTACTTAGGCCAGTATGGCACCTCAAATTTAGATCACAGACTAAAAACCATAACAATGATTATGCCGCCATCTAGTGAAAATTCGTTGTATCACTTTTAGGCCTTTCTGGTTCTATCAAAATGATCAATTTGAACTGGAAAAAATCATAAACTCAATATTGTAAAAAAATGAGTTAGGCCACTATGGTTCTCATGGCCTCAAATATACCCGACACGTGTTTCGCTTCTCTTTGAGGCACACTCACGAGTTGTTGATTGTTCGACGCTCAGTCGAGGGTTCACTGGGTAGCAAAGTAACGCCTAAATCTATGAATTATTTTTTATCAAACTACACAGTATCGCATCACGTTTTTCGATTTATCTACTAACAGACATCGGCACATTAAATGATGGAAACAACCATTGACCTTACCAATGTCAATGCAAACAACATTACGATTTGTTCATTTTAACAGGGCGCGTTCAAATTAGATTCAGATTCAGATTCATTAATATCTCAAATATAACATTACAGTATAAATTGCACTACATGCCAAAGCATAAGAAATTATATTCGGTGGTCGCAATATGTGTGCGTTCCGATATTCATTATGATCTATGATATGGGGTTTGGAGTTTCAAACGCCTCGTTTACTTGTAAATTGAAGCAAAAATTATGTTTATTTGTAAGAAAGTTTAGTAATAACATTTTAAAATAGATTTCATAAAAAACGTGAAAGAAGTGTTCACTACGTCCTTCAATATCTTCTTAAATATCAAGTTCCCCATAGAAGAAAATACAAGTAATGATGGGAAGAATACGTGGTTCATGTTTTCGTTAAGCTTTTTTTTACACCCTGTATTTAAGTCGCTTTTAATCGGTGCCCTAACTGCTTAACCCTAAGGTGAAACTTAGGATCCCTTGAAATCAGGTAGTGTAATGAAAGTTATAGTCCGCCACGCTGGCCCAATGTGGACTCCGCCGGAAAGTTCTTGGTAAAATTCAAATAAAATTTCTCACATAAATTCCGAAAACTCAGGGGTGCGAACCCAGATTCCAAAGCCACGGCCTCTGCTTGGGAGGGAGTATCTCAAACCACGACTTATAATTATAATAACAAAAATAATTAGGTAATGGCATGAATACCATGTAGACATTCGACATCGCACAAAGGTAATAGACGTGGGTACGAGTATAGCAAAGTTTAAGTAGAGGTGGGTGGGGCACTTGGCTAGAAGGAACGATGGATGATGGACGGAAGCCGTTGCTGAGTGGAGGCCATGAAACGCAAAAAGACCAAGAGACAGACCACCAGCCCGATGCATCTAGATGATATCAAGGCCATAGTCGGAAACCACTGGACACATAATGAATGGCGCAATAAAGAGGAAGCCTATACTCAACAATGGGTGCAAACAGGCTGAAATGATGATAAATAACCAGTACAATCTTTAAAAAGTGCAGTTATCTAAATTTAAAAGTAATTAATGTATGTTTGTTTATTCGTCCCCGTATGTATTCCATTATTATTCATCCGATTGCGATAACACTATTGTGAGTCATTGTGCTCGCGCCCGTAAAATTTTACAAAAATTAAATTAATTCCTACTGCTAGGTACGTATCCTCTAAAATGATAGTTACGGCCGTATTCATTCACACATGTATTTTTTTTATAAGATACTAACAGACGGGACGCACAAGTCGTGCGCCTGGTGTTAAGCGGCACGCCTGTCCATAACAATTGTAGTGTACAATTACACTCACATTACTACTTGACGGCAGAAATAGGTAAGGTGGCAATACTGCCCTGATAAGCCGAAAAGCGCTACCTTAATTGAATTAAGTTTTGAGAAAATCGACTTTTTGTAAATTGTATTTTCGCACCTTCAAAAATAAATATTTTAGATGATGTTAAAACTTATTTATACTTATTTTTGACTAATAGATTATTGATATACCTAAATTGTACCACTATACCTATTTTATGACATAACATAAGAAAGGTTTAAAAAATTGAGATATAAACATACTTCATAGTGGTGGTATAGCAGGGCAGAATACATCCCTGGACAAAGAACTCTTTCACAAGGAGCTCTACTGCTACTAAATGCATTTTAAGTATAAATAAAAGCAACAAAATATTACAATTACGAAGTTGTACTGTAGTCTGACATTCGCAAGGAAGTCCGAACTTTTTAGTAACAAAATAAAATCGAAAATGGCAACAAAATTGTTTGTCTTACTACAGGTGGAGTTTTATTAACTTAACTGCCTCCGTGGCCGAACGGTTACCATGCCGGACTGCCACGCAGAGATCCCAGGTTCGATTCCCGGGCCGGGAGAAATGTTTGTATGGCTTACATTTATTTCTCTCGTGAGTTTGGGTGTAATTTGTGGTTGTCTATGTGTGTGTCCATGGCATCCGCGACACAGGGTTTCCCTAGTGCGGGGCTATGTTGAGTGTGTGCGTTATTATATATATTATATTATTATTTTCTTTTATTTTATGTTATTATATGCAGCACAAAATATAGTAGATTCTATTATATAGATGATAAGTATAAAACTGCAGGCATTTTTTGTGACCTAACAAAGGCGTTCGATGTAATTGAAAATGATTTATTAATTCAAAAGTTAGCTGTGTATGGCGTCAACGGAGTCGCCCATAACCTATTAAAGTCTTTTTTATCAAACAGACGGCAAACGGTTCAGGTCAGTACAAACGGTACAACAACTAGGTCAGCGGCTGGTGACGTCACCATTGGCATCCCACAGGGATCTGCCCTAGGTAATACACTATTCCTGGCATTCATCAATGATCTGCCATACTTTATATCAGGGGGTCTTGTGGTTCTATTTGCGGACGATACAACCGTTATAGTGTGTGCTAAAACCTACAACGAGTTGGAAGAAAAATTAGCCTGCACGTATGAGCAGCTGTGTGAGTGGTTCTCTGCGAATGGGCTTATTCTTAACGAATCGAAGTCAAACCTTATGTTGTTCTCAGGAAGAAATTCTATAACAAAGCCAATTATCACCTCCATTGTTCCATTATGTAACACCTGTAAATTCTTGGGTTTAACGCTAGACTCAAATTTGAATTGGAAGTCACATATACAAACTCTATGTCAAAAACTTGGAAGTGCTGCATACGCACTGAGGAAACTGCGTCCTCTTGTCTCCAATGTGGTATTGAGGCAGACGTATTATGCATATTTTCATTCGGTGATGTCTTATGGCATCACACTGTGGGGTAATTCAACTGAGTCGATTAGGGTATTTATTCTTCAAAAACGTGCACTAAGAACAATAGTAGGCATAAAAAAGGGTCAGACCTGCAGAAACCTTTTTAAGAAATACAATATAATGACCATGTACTCACAATATATTTATGATATAATAGTTTATGCGCGTCAAAACTTGGCTACTTATGAGCGACGTACGGGCGGAGGCCGAGCGTTGCGAAACGCGGGAACACTAAAATCCGTTGCCCACCGTACCGAACTTGCAACTAGAAATCCGCGGGTAATAGGTCCCCGATTCTACGAACATCTACCCACAGACCTGAAAAGTGTTAGAAACGATGAAACGTTTTGTACCCGACTAAAAATCCTTTTATTGGATATTGAATTATACAGTGTCGATGAGTTTCTTTTGAAACAATTTTAATTTTATTTTATTCGACAAGCAGTAGTTATACTACTTTATTTTATATTCATTATTATTATTATTATTATTTTGTTACTGACGATCATAGTTATCCCTTGACATTGTATTTCCAATTGTAATATTGTGACATTGATAACATGAAATAAACGATTCTATTCTATTCTATTCTATTACAGGATTACGAGATGGATTACTACTTTTTATTCAGAAAATTGTTACCTTTAACCGAAAAATCCGGACAGAAGATTTAAAAGTCGGACATGTCCGGACAAATCCGGGCGGATGGTAACCATAGGGTTGCGCGACCTGTTTTTTGGTTCGTATCTAACTTGTACGTAACACAATTCACATAAGCTGCTATGCAACGATTACAAAAACTTATTTATTTGCTTGAAATTTCTCAAGTTTCATTGAAATCTCTCTCTCTAAAACACATCCTTCGTGGCCAAACGGTTACCATGCTGGACTGCAACGCAGAGGTCCTGGGTTTGATTCCCAGGCCAGGAGAAATATGTGTATGGCCTACATTTATTTCTCTCGTGGGCGACACAGGGTTTTCCTAGTGCGGGGCTAAAAAAATAAATTAAACAAATCCGTAAACGGAACACTTCCCGTTAAACTGAACTCCAATAAACCTGATTTATCCCCTAATTTGCCGTACATAGAGGTAGAATATTTTCTACCAAATTTGAAATTCCTTTCCTTTATGACAAAAAAAATATCGAAATCGGTTCACAAATGAAATCGCGTAACATACACAAAACAAAATACAGTCGAATTGAGAACCTCCTCCTTTTTAAGTCGGTTAAAAATTCGCTTCCATTAAGTTCTGCGACAATGTAAATATTTTTGAAACGGTTTTAGTTTTATTGAACAGTACATTAATGAGAACTGTAATAATGAATTATCTATTTAATTTAAGAACGAACACTGGCATCACGTATTACTGTTACAGACATTGTAAGTCAATGGTTACAGAGATAAGAATAGTAACTGTGATAAATAGTTCAAGCGATATGAACGAAAACAAGTGACGTTCATAGCGCCAAGTGATAATTTATTTCCCGGCTAATAACGTAAATGTTTTACCTATTATCCAATGTTCGGCAATGTCACGTGCTGGACTGACACTGATGATACTATGACACCGTCTCGACGATGGACCTTCACCTATCGTCGTCGTTTTTCCAAGTGCTGTCTGTGGACACAACACTATTCTGCAACAAAGCCGTATTTTAGTAATCAGTCGATCACGAGATTTACTTTTTTACTAAATCGGGTTCCTGCTACAGACAACTTGAAACCATCTTTTTTGTAATATCAAGTGAAGCCACACGCCTGTCCATAACAGTTGCAGTGCCATTCAGCTCTTTAAATTGCAGAGATCTGAGGTGCACCGCCACTGCGCCTATCACCGTATGTCTCAGTATAAGTAAACAAGTCCCATGTGCCTGTAATTTCACCAGCACCCTTACCCTTCAAAACCGGAACACAGTAATGCTGACATTACTGCTTGGCGGTAGAAATAGATAAGGTGGCAGTACTTCCCTGGACGAACTCTTCCACAAGGAGCTCTACTGCTACTAAAGAGTCTATTACCATCTTCCCGAACGAAATTATTTGAATGTTTTTAATTTCAGTCACTTCACGTACAAATCTTAAATAAAAATAGCGATCGGTGGGTACAACCTGCGCACAATGAAATTCCATCCAGTGATTGAAATATATGATCCAAATCACTTCACCATACTTGAATTAATACTGCCGCTGTGAGTTGAAAGGGAGCTTGTGACAAAAACTCAATACCGAGAAAAAATGCTTAAAGAAATAAAATTAAAAAATATCTAATTTTCTCTTGCGGTAACTTCATATACAAATAGTTATAAATCAGTTTTTTGTTTTTTTTACTGGTCACGGCAGTATACATAAGATGTATATATATTATGTATAGTTTTTTAAATGTGACATGCGCCCTTTCAACAAAAGGCGGCAGAATAACTGACATAAGAGATTCATGTATGCACGCCCTTGTGATATTAATTAAAAAACATGTTACATGTGTACTTCTTTTTTTTCCTTAATGAATGGCTTGTGAGACCTTAGACTATGGAAACCAAAGGACATATTATATTGACATATATAAAACAGACGTATATATATTTATTTATTTATTTATTTATTTGGGATAACAACAGCAATAATGATAGGTTACAAAAAATTAATTACATATTACAAAGCCAGTAACAGTTATCCTCGATTTATACATTAAAATAAAAA